GCATCCCGCAATTCCCAAAAATAGGAATGAAAATCCCAAAAATGGGATTTTTTACTTTTTTGCCCATAGGGTCCACATTTCTTTTAGGGCTGGGAAAATACTTTTGGAGTAAATAGATAACATATTAAGGTTTCCAAAACTGCTTTCAGTTTTCTGATCCCAGCTTTGGGATTTTAGAACATGTCGCCCAAAGTTGAAGTTTTGATAAAAAATAGGTCATATTCGGAAGGACGCAGTGGCAACATTATCAAAAAATAGGACAAGTTTTTTACGCCAAAGCGTTCTGCGTAAAGATACCTTTTAGAAAACTATAAAATTGTTATATGTTCTTAAAGAAAATTTTATTTTATTAATAAAAGAGTTAAGACACATTTTTGACAAAAAAACGGCAAAAATCTAAAATTTTTTGAATTTTTAAATTAAAAAACGTATATTTTTGGATCTGTAAATGATATTGATCTGAAATTTTTTGTATAATATTGGAAATTAAACGGCAAAAATCAAAAATTTTTTGAATTTTTAAATTAAAAAACGTATATTTTTATACCCACCATCAAAAAAGATGGGGGGTATATTGATTTTGTCATTCCGTTTGTAACACATCGAAATATTGCCCATAGACCCATAAAAGTATATATATTCCGGGTCCTTATTAAATTCTAAGACGATCTAGCCATGTCCGTCCGTCTGTCCGTCTGTCCGTCCGTCCGTCCGTCTGTCTGTTGAAATCACGATAGGGACCACACGAGAGGAGCTAGACAGTTGAAATTTTCCATAAATATTCTCTATTGCTAAGGTTTGTTTGGTATTGAAAATGGGCAATATCGGTCCAATTTTTCGGATAGCCCCCATACAAGTGGACCTCCAAAAAACAGCTTTAACGGACATAACTGCTTTAGTAGTACGAGCATAGCGATGAAATTTGACATAAATAAGTTTCATATGAGCCATTATCTTTCTACCAAATTTTTTGAGGATCGGCCCATAAATGACCCTACTCCTCATATAAGGTCCCCTTCAGAAAATGACTTTAACACACATTACAGCTTCAAAAATGCGAGTATAGCGATGAAATTCGATATAAGAAAGTTTCTTACGAACCAAAATTTCTCCACGATTTTTTTTTGGGATCGGCCCATAAATGACCCTACCCCCCATATAAGGTCCCCTTCAGAAAATGACTTTAACACTCATTACTGGCCCAAAAATGCGAGTATAGCGATGAAATTCGGTATAAATAAGTTTTTAACGAACTAAAACCTCTCTACATTTCTATTTTAGGATCGGCCCATAAATGACCCTACCCCCATATACGGTCCCCTTCTGAAAATCCCGCATATAAGGACCCCCTCTGCAAATAACTATAATGCTCATTACTGGCTTAAAAATATGACTGTAGTGACGAAAATTTATGCACATAAGTTTAATGCGTGCCAAAATCTCTCCACCAAATTTAGGGAGGATCGGTCCATAATTTACCCTACCGCCCTTCAGAAAATACTTAAACGATCATTACTGGCTTAAAAATATGAGTTATGAAATACGGTTGTGAAATTCGCTCCGAATTTCATGCGGAATGTGTCGGTAATTCACTCTACCCCCCATGCAAGCCCCCTTTATAAAATTACAACGTTAATTACTGGCATAAAAATTCGAGTACAGCGATGATATTTAATGTAAACAAGTTTTATATGAATCAAAATCGGTCTACAAAAAATGTTATGAAGATAGGTCAACAATTGACCATACACCATATGAGTTCCTCTTTAGAAAATTTTATGAAGTAAATTCAGATAATTGGATAATTTATACTTAGGAACATAATTCTTCATTCCGAATTTAATGAGGACTCATTTATAACTGACCCTATCCCCTATAAAAGGTTCCCTTCAGGAAAGAGTTTTGGTTATTGAAATACGAGTTTTCCTTATTTAAAATAAGAGTATAGCGCTGAAATTTTGTTAGTTCAAAAGAGCTCGGTCCATAATTGACTTAAAGCATATTCCAAATATCACCCTGATGTTTATAGGGGAGCATTCCTTTTATGGCATACAGTTTGATGGTGGGTATATGAGATTCGGAACAGCCGAATATAACACTCTTACTTGTTGGATCTGTAAATGATATTGATCTGAAATTTTTTGTATATTATTGGAAATTTTGTTGTCTAACTAACTAAATTTTGTATCACTAAATTTTTAAATGCCTATAACTCGGATGAAAAACAAAAAAATGGCACGAGTTTAAAAATTTTACATGTCGTAGGTACCCTACTTTGAGCCGCCACAGCGCCGTCCCTGGGCCATCTGCGGGGTTCATCTTCAAAATTGCCAGATTTATTTCCAAAAAATTTCGATTCTGCCCCACTGTGCATTGGTAAATTTTTGTTTTTACGAAAATAATTATATTTCTGCCAGTTTTTATCTGATTTCAACGTTTCGTATCTTATTTTATTCATAAAAATATGGGCTAAAATAATTTCTAATAATGTATGGGTCAAAAATTATCGTGAATCGTAAAAAAATTTAAAAAATATAAAAATTTGTATTTAGATCTAAATATTTTACACACTTCCTTTAAAAATATATAAGTGTGTGTACTAGGGTGGGTCGAAAAAAAAGTTGAGTCAGTCACCCCCTACGATTAAAGATATGTTAATAACATTTCCAAAAATATAAAAAATATTTTTTTGCCCCGCTAGAAATACCGCCCTTTTTGTTTTTTATATATAACGTCGCCATTTTAAGTCCGATCGAACATGAACATGTAATATATCAATATTTATGGCTTGACTGTAGCTATATTTCACTCTTAGAAAATTTTTTAATTCGACGTCATATTCTATGCGCGACTTCTGATATCTCGGATCCTTCCCCAAAATCGAAAATTGTGGCTATACTGGAATAAAGTACATTGAATTATATGAACTATTAGCTTTTAAAATGCTCACTTTTATGCATAAAAACCTATTTTACAGGTATTTAAAAATACCTGTATAGTTCTAACTACAAACAATTAATTTGCTAGGGATATGGTCGAAAACTATTTTTTCAAATTAATTTACAATACACAAATTTCATTCTGCCCTTATCTTAACACAAGGAAGATAATTTTATTCGGCATTTAATTTTATTAATTAATAACAAAATCACGTAGGTACATAAAAACTAAACATTTTATTTTATAAAAATCTATGCAAAATTAAATAGTTATACTTTATAAAAATATTTCTTGTTTTTACCATACAATTACTTGCATGTCTCTTGGTTCTTTTTTAAACAATTTTCAAAAATGTTTATACTAATTTTTATAAAATGTAATAAATTTATTTAATGATAGATTAACTTTTCTTAAATAGTTATATATTTTTAAAGAAGTTCTTGAAATAAAAACTAATAAAGAAATATTAGTCGGGAATGGCCGACCATATGATACCAGTTATGAGTATATCTAAAACATGATTTCTTTTTTAATAAAGCATTTATATTGAAATTTGTCCATTACTTTTTAAGCAATTTATTGATGAAAAACTAATTTTCTGAAAGAGCCTATATATGGGATCTAGGATCAATTATAGACCGATCCTATCAAAATTTGGTGGAGGGATTTATGTTCATATAGGAGTTAGATATGCAGAATTTCATCATAATGGAAGTGTTTAAGAGGGAAATAACGACAAGCCACAATTAAGAGCTCCGATTTAATCCATTTTCAAACAATTTCGTCCTTTGGTAAAGTGAAATATTTGAGCCTATTTTCATCAAATTATCTGGAAAATTGCGACTTGTAGTTTGATTACAAGGTTTAAATGGATGGACAGCCGGACGGACATAGCAAAACCACTATATTGCTGTATTGATATATAGTACATACATAGTTAACTTTCTGCTATTTTGAAAGGAAGTAGGATCTGAAATGGTTTGTAACTGAAACAATAAAACGGATTTCTGTTATATATAGTTCATTTAAAAAAAATTTCGACTGTTTTTCCTGGCAAATTAATTGTTTGTTATGGGAACGGTTGATAAATACTTGAACATTTTTAAATATCTATAAAATAGGATTTTATGCATAAAAGTGAGCATTTTAAAAGCTAATAGTTCATATAATTCAATGTACTTTATTCCAGTAAAGCCACAATTTTCGATTTTGGGGAAGGATCCGAGATATCAGAAGTCACGCATAGAATATGACGTCGAATTAAAAAATTTTCTAAGAGTGAAATATAGCTACAGTCAAGCCATAAATATTGATGTATCATATGTTACGATCAGACTTAAAATGGCGACGTTATATATACAAAACAAAAAGGGCGGTATTTCTAGGCGTGGCAAAAAAATATTTTTTATATTTTTGGAAATGTTATTAACATATCTTTAATCCTAGGGGGTGACTGACACAACTTTTTTTTTGTCCATAGAGACCGACCCACTCTAGTGTGTACTTTTTGAAAAGTACAAAGGAAACTCTTTCCAAAACAGTTGAAAAATATTAAATCGGTTAAGAAAATTTTGAGATAATTTTTTTGGTCTGTCTAGTCAACAAAAAACTTTTTTTCCAATATCTTCCGATTTTTAGGGTATATTGAAGATTCTAAAAATGGTACTGTAATCTAATCTACTAGGCCTACCAACTTCACTAGGTCTCGCGATAAGTGTATTGATTTTTTATAATTTTGTCACACCGTGTTATTTTCAAGTTATCTAACTGAAGGATGGTGGAAACGAAAAGTTTAACTTACAATTAAATATTTTCCGTTAGCCAAACTGGCAGTTAGTAATTTTTTCAGTTAAATTTATAAAATCAATTTTGGTGAAAATGGAGGTAAATTTTCTATTTTTTTTAACTAAAATTAAGTAGATTTTTCGTTAGTATTACCTATGAATTTTTTTTCTGTGTAACATCTGACAACCGTGTATCACAGTTTTTAGTTTTAAAATGCAATGAATAATTCTGTGTTTTCCCTCAAAAATAAATATGTTAATATTTTTATTTTTCAGAACTTTACATTACATTTACAGAAGCATCTTTGGAATGCTACAGAAGATTCATGCAAAGGCGGCAATATGATGATATGTATTTTAGGATCCCATCAAATTAAAAGGAACGACAAATATAATTAATTACTAAGTATGTATTGTTATTTCGTTTATAAACCAAATTCTCACTAATAATATGTTTTATTTTCTTGCTTATTCTTTGCAGTTGATGGTTGCTTGGGTATCATCTTCATACTATTTTTTATATATTAACGTATTATTTAGTAAAAATATGTAGGATATAATATTATGTATAAATAATTAATAACTAATAGTAGTATAAAATTGTATAAATTAATAAAAATAAATACAAATAATAAATAATGTTAAAATTTACAAAATATAGTTTTATTACGAATATAGTTCAGTCCCTCTCTTCATGTTAACCCATTAATGCCCACAGTTACATATACGTAACGCAAATTAATTCGAATTTGGACTCGAAATGCACAGAAATGGAAAATGCAAAGTTACTTTTTTGTGATGGATAGGTTAACTTAACATATTCTTAACGATTATAAATCGAATTTGAGTAATTTTTGCCTATAGATATGTATTTTTGGGTTATTTTGTAAAGTGCCTATTTCGTAAACCTGCAAAAAGTCATATTTTTCTAGGAATGAATTCTTAGAATGTTAGTAACTTCTATGTAGTTAGTTTTTAAAAAAAGTTTCCGACGAAAACTTATAAAGAAGTAATTAATGTTTATTACCTAATTGTTTATAAACATATACCATGTCCTTGCGGAGACTTATAAAGAGGATAATAAAGGTGTTACGTATATGTAACAGTGGGCAGTTCTCAGTACTTTTTGTCCCACTCTACATACGATATAAATAATGAACAACTTGCTTACTTTTTTATGAAATCTGCCTCAAAAATAGTTTTTTATCAGAAGAATGGGTTTTTAACGTAATAAAAAACAATATATTTTCTTGAAATATTGATATTTGATGACAAGCAATATATTTTTAATGTAAAAGTTTCTATTAAATCGCCCTTTCGTGGATATTTTAAATTTTTTAAGAATTTCTGTAAAGGATATGCCATTTGACCGCATAAGAACTTGTTCAAGGCACAGTTGGCGAATATTAAATATATATTTTTACAAGAAAAACGGAATATAATTGCAATTATCCTTCAAAAATTAAACATGGGTTGAAAATTATGACCATTTTCTTGGATTATTAGGGAAATTGCAAGGATACAAGCGCCAAGGACCTTTGGTAAATGTATGCAAAATGTGTAACGTTAGTCAATATATCTGCTGCTGCAAGAAAATATACAAATTTCTTTAAATTCATTAATTGACATTACAGAAATTACAAAATTCCGCAAATTAAAATTTTATACTTTTAAATAATTTTTTATTTTATATGAAAAAAATTTGGATGATACACCAAATTAGCTAATCCAAGCTTAAAACTTAATAATTAACCAGTTCTTTTACGATTTTTTGGTAAAAATATGTAACTTTTACTTAAAATACTTAAGGACAAAAATTCGTGGGTAATGCCCACTGCTACGTATACGTAACGTCTTCTAAAATCCAAACAAGGCAAGATAGAAAAATTTTTTTAATTGAAATCAGTTTATATACACAAGTAAACTGTCATATCCAAATTTCACATTTCTACCTTACGTAGATCGCCGTGGGCATTAATGGGTTAAACTTATAATCCAATTATACTAATTACGCAGTAATTGTGTAAAAAATTCACATGATAGTTTAAAGTACTAGGTTAGAGCGTTCGGCGTTGTTAGGTCAATATTTTATATTATCGATCATTGAAAGTTGTGCTTTTTAACACTAAGTAAATTAAAATTTTAAAATATTTTCAGAATTCACTTCAAAAATATATTTTCTGTTTAGCTATCTGCAGAACAACATAATATACATACAAATCCCTCATTTCTAAAGTAAATTATCAATTTGAATAATAAAGCTTATATTGATTTGTGTTGCATATCTTACGTTGATATTATTTTAAAAAAATTGAAAAAATATAAAAATTTGTATTTAGATCTAAATATTTTACACATTTCCTTTAAAAATATATAAGTGTGTGTACTTTTTGAAAAGTACAAAGGAAACTCTTTCCAAAACAGTGAAAAATATTAAATCGGTTAAGAAAATTTTGAGATAAAATTTTTTTGGTCTGTCTAGTCAACAAAAAACTTTTTTTTCCAATATCTTCCGATTTTTAGGGTATAATTAAATAAAAACCTTTTCTTTATTTTTTTTCGACTTTATTGTCGTGATGCTCTTAAACAACTAACATAAATTATATCGTTTTGTTTATCAACTAAAACTCTGACAGACATTCAGTCAGCAGTTTTACATTTGAAAAGAAATACTATGAGTAGTTTTCATATTTGAATTTATTATACCCACCATCAAAAAAGATGGGGGGTATATTGATTTTGCCATTCCGTTTGTAACACATCGAAATATTGGTCATAGACCCACAAAAGTATATATATTCTGGGTCCTCATTAAATTCTAAGACGATCTAGCCATGTCTGTCCGTCCGTCTATCTGTCTGTCTGTTGAAAGCACGATAGAGTCCGAATGGAAAGAGCTAGAGGATTGAAATTTCACATAAATATTTCTTATAGGTAAGATTTGTTTGGTATTGAAAATGGGCAATATCGGTCCACGTTTTCGGATAGCCCCCATACAAGTGGCCCCTCGAAAAGCAGCTTTAACAGCCATAACTTGTTTAAAAATACGAATATAGCGATGAAATTCGACATAAGTAAGTTTCTTATGATCCAAAATCACTATGCAAAATTTTAGGAGGATCGGTCCATAATTGACCCTACCCCCCATGTAAGGTCCCCTTCAAAAAATGACTTTAACGCTCATCACTGGCTTAAAAATACTAGTATATAGATGAAATTCGACATAAGTTTCATTCGAGTCAAACGAGGTTTGATGGTGGGTATATAGATTCGGCATAGCCGAATATAACACTCTTACTTGTTTATGTTGACAATGTATTTATGTATTATAACAATAATACATACAAATCAACAAGCAAACTGGAGTTTACTATTGTGCATGGATTGTGTATCCATAACACCCCCGGACGAAGATGCTTGCCCATTTTCCAAAGGAATTATGGATAAGTTAACTGCAACTTGAGATTTCTTTAATCTTAATATAGGTGTAGATACTAGACATCTGCACTAGTGCGTTAAAAATGACTTACAAGTCACTCGTTTATTTACGAATACTGTCTGTAGTGCGGCCGAAGTTAAAAAAGCAGTTAATCATCCACACACAACAATAAAAGTGTAAAAGCAAACAAATACAAAAAAAAAAATAGAGACAATAGAGTTAAAGTGAAAAACCAATCGGAATAATGTATGATCTGTTTCGAAATGTTTCGAGACAACTTATGAGTGATTTTATAGATTTTGTGTTAATTTAAACAAAACGCTTTGTTACAAGAATAAAATACAATTAGTAGAATTTAGAGTTTACTTTTAATCGACAAAATGCAAATAATCAATGGGTGTAAAATATTTTTAAAATTTTTTCACTCATATGCATTCCATAATTTGTAATAAACTGTAATTTCTGAAACAAAGCGACATCAACATGCTTTGTTGAATGCTTTGAAACAACTAAATAAAATTGTTGTATTTATTACGCCCTTGTTAAGAGGTTCGTTTACGATCGTGTTGTGCACATGTAAATTATTTATGTAGATGAATGAGAGAGCACAGCTGATAGTTTTTTATATATGAACTTTAATGTACGCTGTCTGTCAAAATCCATAATATCAATTTGACAGTTAGAATATACTTTTTAGTTTGCAGTCATTTTATTAGTACAGTTTTATTTTGGGTTAAACTTTCCCAGTTGGGCTTGTCTTTAAGACATCCTCAACGATGGGTACACGACAATGTAAAGTCCTGGAAGACAAATGTAGGACAGCCGGAACAAATCGTCAACGACATTTTCGAACAAGTGTCGCGAAAATCGTGGACGACTAGATGAGAGACAATGTCGCTCAGTTTGTCCTTCACCCAAAAATATAGATTAATTCCACCATTTTATCATCAACGACTATATAAGCCACAATATCATCCACTTTGTCGTGAACGATTATATGGGCGACAAGATCATCCACTTTGTCGTCAACGATTATATGGGCTTTGTCGTTAACGACTAAATAAGCGACAATATCGTCCACTTTGTCGTCAACGATTATATGGGCGAAAATGTCCTCAGCTTTGTAATTAACGACTATATTGATGATAGTATCATTCACTTTGGCGTCAACGATTACATGAGTGACAATGTCCTAAGCTTTGTCGTTCACTTTATTTTTTAAAAGAAAATGTTTTAAGTTGAATAAAAATATTTTAAAATATCACATTTAATTCAAAAACAATATTTATTTCATTTGAATAAATTTTTAAAAACATATTAATTGTTATAAAAAGGGTTATTGAGAATTATTTGAATTTGAATTATCTTTATTGTATTGTCTAGCTTTTTCCTTATTGTAAGTATTCTTGATTCTACGAAAGATACCTCTTAAATCTTTTATAAATTCCTCGTAGGTATATCCCTCTTTTTTTGCGGATTCTGTTTAAAAAATATGAATTTTAAAAAGTTATAGATATGTTTTTTTATTGCCAAGTAATATGTCTTAAAATACTCACCATATAAAGCTTTGAGTACATTTCCGTATTTATTATTAAATTAAATATATTTTGATAACACTTTTAATTTCACTTTTAAACACTTTAAAACACTCTTACTTATGCAACTGTTCGCACTCAAATGAGTCTTTACTTTTCTATTTTGCCCTTTTTTCAAATGGCAGTTATTTTACCGTTATTTTACATTTTTTTTTTGCAATCACACTGCATAGAAACATTGACTCTCATCAAATAGAATTAAATAGGGGACAACTTGCAAGACAATGTCGCTCATCTTGCCGTCAGTATAGTCCAATATAAGACAACATCCAAGACATTGTCGCTCATATCATCATCGTGTGTATTTGTTAGAAGAAAATATTTAAGATTAGTCGCTCATACTGTCGTCAATAGAGTTATTTAAAAGACATCGTTGAAGACATATTATCTTAAACTGTCAGTAATATAATTAATATAGAGAAGTATATACGAGTTTATTCTCTCAATAGCTTATATAGAAAGACATTGTCTTCTATGGTGTCTTCATAAAAAAAAGCCCAGAAGACAACGCTTAAGAATTTATCGATCATATAGTCGTCAACAGAGTAAGTTACATGACAATATTCTAGACCTTGTCGCCCATCTTTTCA